TAATTAATTTCAAACATTTTGGTGGAGATATTAAAAATTACCTGAGCTAATAATTCCTACAAGAGTGTCCTCTGTTTTTCCATCGTCTGCTGGTATCACTCCACCAGCCTACAGCACAGTGAAAGTCTGCTCTATGATCATCAGACTCCCGGTCAGAGCAGTTTCATCCCTGAGTGAGCAGCAAACTCTAAGAACAGCGTGTAGGATTCTGCAGGACCCCTCCCATGCTCTGTTCCCGGAGATTGAGTGGTTCCCCTCAGGACGACGGCTCCGCTGTCCCGACTGCAGGACACAGAGGAGGAGAGCGACCTTTGTTCCCAGGGCTGTTCAGCAGTGTTCGCACACTGACGCAGTGTTATTAGCTAAAATCTTGTTGTTCAGCCTTTAACAGTAGCTCCTCTTAGCGCCTCTGATTTCCTTTGTCAGGGTTCCTCGTGTGACTGAACAAGGTTTTGTTGAACTAGGACTGCATGATATTGGAAAATTTCAGACATTGCGATGTGACTATTGTTTTGCAATAAATACTGTGATATTTATAAAGAAAAAATAGTTCAAAAGAAATAAATTTCCCACAAACCTGTCTGAGTGATCTGCACAGGAAGGATGAAAATGATTGGTTCGCAGAGCGCATGCCGAGCTCATGAAAAAGCAGCAGCGGTAAACTTTCAATGGATAATAATTATTAAAATAATAAAGTTTTGTGTTCTAGGACAGGAAAAAAATGCTTTAGTGAAATTTGACCACCACCCCAGCTGAACTGTATTTACTGCAAAAAATACTATGTAATGCAGTATAATGTCCAGACATTATGAAGTCAAGTCTATAACACATTTAAAAATAACAATTGTTTAACCCAAGTGCTGTATAAAAAAAATTAAAACTAACAAGACATTCTCTGAAGGTGTGAAAAAGCCTGATCTGATCCCAGCTGATTATCACGGCCCTTGCATTGTGAGAACTTTATATTCATAATATGTGATTTTACTTCTGTAGGTCACTTCCTTAGCTTGCAGGAGCCGCCTCAGATTTGCTGTTCATTGTTTTCTGTATATTATAGAATACAAATAAATGCCCTGGATTAAAATAGCACAATAATTAATGATTCAATGTGTAATCATTCCCATTGAGTTGATGTCAATTCCTGGTGACTATATAGTTGACATTTCTCCAAAATGCCCAGTCTTTTATCTGGGTTCTCAAGCTTCTCAGTAGCATGTTATTTGCTGTAATGATTCAGTCCATCAGTCACGCCCCACCCCTCCTGCTCTTTCTCTCTAACATGGCTTAACAAGCCACACCTGGTCCTCCTTTAGTCTTCCCTCTCATTCCTGCCCTCTCATCAATCACTACTAGCTGCCTCCTGTTTGCTCCTTTGTAGATCCTGTGTAAATGTGCTCCCCAGTCCTGGGTTCCCTAGTTCTGACATTGCCTGGTACCATCCTCCTTTTTGCTGCTCACTTCTTTTGCCCTCAATTCTTACATGAACTGAGCGTTCCCATAATTTCACCTATAATAAGATTCGTTCTGGTCATTTGTGCTTCAAGTGAAAGTCCAGGCTTTGTCCAAAAACACTAGCATCTTTAAATGTTATTTTACTCCTTTACAGCCTTAATCAGAATTTACATTTTGTTTATTTAGCAGATGTCTTTGTCTATTTTGGAGTTAGGGGCCTGGATCCAGGGGGGTCCAATTACACGGAGCAAGAGTCACCCACAGAGTAACAAATGTGATCACATGACTATTGAACACGCTTGTCCTTGTGCTTTTCAGCATTTATGAAGGATTTCTACAACCAGCTTTGAAAACTTGTTGGATTTTATCACTTTACGAAGGAGCCTGGCTGTGTTTTTATTAAAAATAATGGAAAATCAAGATTATCACTACAGACAATTTAGGTCTGTTACATTAGATTCGTTAAATATTTCTTTCGTTTTATTCAAAGTGCAAAGTGTTTAAATAATACAACGTAACAGTCTGGATGCTATTCCAAAGTCATAACATACGATACACACTTTCCTATATTTAGAAATTAGCATTCCATCTTGTTGCTACATTTACACTAATAATTGGTCCTCCTGGCATAAACATTCAGCTTCTCCCGGTTATTTAATAACGAATCAAATGCAGCGCTGTAAAGCCAACAGGTGGTTAACAAGCAGGTGGCAGTTAGCTGTATTATTCATCTGCTGAACAAAGGAAACACACGCCTCTTTCATTATGTTCTTCGCCATCGACGTGGATAGTGAGCACTTGCTCCACATGGTTTCAAACATTATTGCATATTTTATGCAAATTATTATATAAACCGTTCATCCGCGACACAATATTTAGGTTACACACGTTCTCAAGTCCACACATTTTAAATCGTGCATCAGTATTAATTAATAATGCCACGCCACACGTCAGATCACAACTACAGACCCCCCTGTTCCCCCCTTCTACACCCGCTGATGTACCAGTATATGTCCTGCCCGTATCCCATGCCGGCTGTCACGATGAGCACGGGCATTAAATGGCGCTTGCTTCTGGGGATTGGTCCGGTGCCTTGTCAGTAAAGTCATCGCCCCCAGAGTGCCGAGGACATACAGACACAGATATCGCTACAGGGGAAGGGGAAGGGGAAGGGAAGGGAAGGGGAGGGGAGGGAAGGGGGCAAGGCGACACACAGCGACACTCGGAGGGAGACGCGACAGACGGCACAGAGTGACATGCAAGCAGCCGACGAGGAAGCCTGCATCCCTAAGAGCAGCAGGTACAGGAGCCCCTACGGCGTCCTCAAGCCCTTCCCAGACAAGCGGGCGCTGGGGAAGACGCCGTTTGACAGATCCACCATGGTGGAGGTGCCGCCTACGGCGATTCAGTATCCCCAGCCTTTGAGCTACTACCATCATCACCAGCACCGAGTGCATCCCGATCACCCGCAGCCTGTCGAGCGTCGCCAACCGCAGGGGCGTCCTCACCACGGGTCGGCCGCATCAGCGGGTCATCACGCCCCCAGGCACCCGGCAGGTAGCGCCGCAGTATGGCAGGAGTCCACGGACGGCCACCGAGGGTTAAGTGCAGGTGATTCCGCCGCCAGTCGCCCGACCTGGACTACTTGTATCGACCTGCATGTTTATTTCACTTTACCAATGAGTTTGAAATTTGTGTGTTCTTGTTTATCGATTTGAATATAATATGCTGAATAGAATATGATCAAGCGTATGTACTTATTTTGTCTTGGTAGGCTGCGGAAATTTTATTACAAAAGCAGACGCACTTTATCCAATAGCAATTATTATGTCTGAAATGACAAATAGGCCTACGGTTAAAAATGTTTTTCATTTCTGCAAAAATAAATCGACATGGGTGACTTGTTTACCTTATGTAAGTTTTTCCAAGTATGTAAAAATACTACACCTAACTGACTATATTAACTGCATGTAAGTTTGTTGGTATCTTTTTCAATGAAGTATAGTGATGTCCAGCCCTTTATAAAACTTATAATGCCTAAGTGGGCTAGTGTAACCAAAGCAGTGTTTGGCACTTAGTTCCTTATCATTTACGTAATAGGTGCTCTCACCCAGATGACCGACTCAAGAAAGACCTTTAAAAACAGGGACTCAGTCCAGCGCAGGAAATCCACAAGTACCTTAAAACAGAAATAAATCCACATCTTTAAGGTCATTGTGATTAATTTTACAGGGCAAAACTTCAAAATGATTGAATCTACAGACAGTATCAACAGAGAAACACTCCACTTGCCTTGCATTCCACTTCTAGACAGTACCGTTACACATTTTGGGCCCCATGAAAGCTTATCATATTTGGCCCCCAACTTGAATCAATCCAGTTATGTTCCAAACTCTTTAGGGCCCCTGTCAGTCAGGGAACTGTCCTAACACCCCCCTGTTACAGTGGCCCTTGTTTTATGTTGCCCATAATGGTGATCATGGTGAGACTTTACAATGGATAACCGCCAATTCACTGTACGGCTCGGGTATGGCTGACATACTTTACAAAGGAAAACCGCCAATTCTAAATGAATCTTTATTGTCATCATACAAAATATGATGTTATTGGATGCAGTACCTTCAGTGCAAAATTGGAATAATTAAATAAATAAATAATAAAAGTGTTTAAATACATAAATAAAATTCAGCACTATAACACTATGACATACAGGGTGGGCTGGGCCTGCTTGGTGCCTGGTCACGGTACAGCTCGGGTATGGCTGACATACTTTACAATGGAAAACTGCCAATTCATGGTACGGCTCAGGTATGGCTCGGTTCTGGGTGGCAGTGGAAAAGTGTTACGGCAGACTCCCCTTCCCCCTCCCCCCCCCCCCCCCACCAAATTTCAAACATATTTAATCAATTTATATATATTAAAAACATTTCAGTGGCACAAGGTAGGTAACACTCTACTTGAGGGGGCACTAATACTTAATAGTAACTCAGTTACTACTGAAGTATAAATCATGAACAAATATAGTAGCAATCAAAGATGTCATGATTCATTAATGATGAACAAACATGAGAAGTATTTCACTTGTTATTCATTATTTGTTCCTTCTGTTGTTCCTTAGTAGTTCTCACAGGTTTGCAGAATTAGTCACAAATATAATAACTGGGATAAAAGACATCATGATTCATTAATGATGAATTAACATGAGATCAGTATGTAACTAAGTCTTAGTTTATGGTTAATTAATACACAAGTAATAGTGTACAAATACTATATTATTTGTATCCAGTCAATTATTACTGGTTGCTAACCAGATAGCTCACTATTACACAATAAAAGTAATAAAGTATTTAAACTAGTGTAATTAACTGTAATGTTGTGGAATGCAACCAAAGGTATTTTTTCTGATGTTTTACACTCTGTTTTTACACTGGTTTTTTACACTCACACTGTTTTGCGCCCCCTAACCGGATGGCTCCTGAGGTGATCGTCTATGTCCATACAGGGTGGGCTGGGCCTGCTTGGCGCTTGGTCACTTTTGGAGTTACTTTAGTATATTACATGTCTGTATATAATATATCATCATTTCTCTTCTTTGATTGCATTTATTTATTTCCCATTTTTATCCAGAGCTACTTAGCACACTTACAGTGCTGCTCCTAAATTCAACTGGGTATTTTTATTGAAGCTGATTGGTTGTGCACTTTCTCTCAAGTACAATGGCAGAACCTTTCTGATACTTGATATGTTGGGGCTCAAATTCAGGTTTTTATCTCCTTCTGTTACATACCAGCTTGTGTGATGCTTATGTGATAATAGGTGGTGTGTGGCTCAGTGACCTAAGTCCTAGTGCCTGTGTTTGGAAGGTTACTGGTTTGAGCCTCAACAGAATAGTCACATGTCCTTGGGCTCTTGAGCAAATCACAGGTACTGTGGGTGGCTGATCCCTCGCTGTGATCCCCAAGCTTGCTCTCACCTGTATGTGTGCATGTGAGAGTTGGATGGGGTCGGCAAAAAGACGATTTCCCCATGGGGATCCATAAAGTATCATTACATTTACATTTACTTTTACATTTACATCATTTAGCAGATGCTCTTTTCCAGAGCGACTTACAATCAGTGCTTTGTAGTCCATGAGTGTTCCTCGATCTATAAGCTAAAATCAACAACTGTCTTTAAGAATAAGTTACTGCTAAGTATGTTGTATTAAAAACCCTGTTAGGAAAAAACAGTGCACAGGCAAATATTGTTAGTGGATTTTTTTTATCATTTAACTGGAGAGAGTGGACAGTAAGGGGGTATTTGTCTCCCAGGTACTCCTTGAAGAGGTGAGTCTTCAGACGACGTTTTAAGACAACAAGGGACTCGGCCGTTCTTATGGCAAGAGGAAGTTCGTTCCACCAGTGAGGAGCCATTGCAAAAAGTCTTGATCCATGCCATCCTCTTTTAAGTGTTGGTGGTTCGAGACAAGCAGCGCTTGATGCTCTGAGAGGACGAGAAGTGACACGATTCTTGACCAGTGTTGCCAAGTAAGGAGGAGCTGTTCCAGTCTTGGCTTTAAAGGCAAGTGTTAGGGATTAGAACCTGTCATAGGGAGTCAGTGCAGGTTCCGTAGAAGAGGTGTGATGAGCGAGAATCTAGAAACATTAAAGATGAGTCTCGCAACTGGATCAGTTGAAGTGACCTTGTTGCCTTTAGTGACCAGCCATAAGGAAATTGCAGTAGTCCAACTTGGAGATGACCAAGGGTTGAACGAGTAACTGAGTAGCATCTGTCATGAGAAAGGAATGAATTCTTCTAATGTTGTAGGGAAGGTATCTGCAGGAACCTGGACAGGTTGCTAATGTGTGACAAGAATGACAATTCGTCATCCAGAATTCTTACTGACTTCTTAAGTGGTGGAATTAGTACAGGATTGTTTTTTTGCTCAGTTTGTTAATA